TCAAGCGCAAACATTGCCAAAACAACCATCAACAAATGATATACAATCTCCTATGAATAAAATGCTATCTGTAATGCAAACTAATCAAACGTCACCAACTTCAGCAACAAGTATTCCACAGATACATCAAACTGGTTCTCCAGCAGATATGAGTTCAAGACCATTACCTTCAACACAAGTTTCTGGAATGAATATTCAACAAGGATCTAGTATAAAACGTACACCATCATTTCGAGATCAATCATATGATGATGATAATGTATCTCGTATTGAACTTGATTATCCAATTGAAAATGTTCTTGTCGATGCGGGTATTCCTTCAACAGTGGCTATTAAAATTAATGAACTTGTTGAACAAGATCGTCTTGGTAAAAACTATCATATTCATCGTTATACATACGAACCACCACTACAACAAATATCTGTTGGTAATAATCAACATATGAATCGTCGTTTAATGGATGATAATTATTATGGTGGTACAAGATATATACGTGAAATTCAAAATGATAATCAAAATGTATTATTTGATAATACGTATCATCCTCCAAGATCAAATCAACACTATGCACGACGTCGTTCGTATTCTGAAACATCATTAAATCGATACATTGATCAATTGATGCAAAAACCAGGTGGCATTGTTATTCAAGCACAAAATTCCCAGAATTTACAAGAAATACTTGGTCAATATTTATATAATAATGAATTAATGCCGACACAATCATCAATAAATCCTCCATATCTGCCTTTTTATCCTCCGCCTCCTTCTCTTCCTGCTCCTACTCCGCATCTTTCATTAAACACGAACCCTATTACAGAACCATTTTCCTATTATACAGCATATGCTCTACCCAATGATCCAATGCGATGTTATTAAAACAAACTAGAAAGACAGATCTTTTTATTTTAATAAATAACAATAAATATTCGTTACTGTATTATTAATATCGCATAAAAAAGATTCATCAACAGTATGATGACACTTTTTTAGCGTGTCTGTAGGAATTTTTTTGCTATTTGTCTGCGAAATTTTTAGTAGCGCTTCGATTTCTGACAAATCTGTCAGAAAGCACAATATATCTGTCAAATCAAGCAGAGAATATAGACTGTCTGCCGAGTCTGGCAGACAGTGCAGAATATCTATTAAATTTGGTAGGTAATGTAGATTGTCTGTCAAATTTATTACATAATATGGATTGGTTGGCGAATCTGGCAGACATTACGTCGTATAATCATCACTGTTTCATCATATGATAGAATTTAAATTTAAAAAAATAATTTAAAAAATGTTTTCTGAGATTAAAAACAGAAGCAAATGTTCGCTCGCAGATACTTATAAAAAACTACATTTAGTTGCACATCGAAAATTTTGATAGAGATAACTGTTTGCGAAAATTTGTCAGTAGTGTCTGTGAAAAATTATTAGCCCCCTACACTCTTGAAAACAATCGAGAGCTCTGCTCTTAACTATACAAATCATTTTCATTTGAGAAAGTTTTATTGTATACTCCATAATTCAATCCGACTAATAGAGTTTCAAATTATAAATAATGAAAAAAACTAGATCGATGAGCTCTAACATGAAATTATTCAAACGAACTATATTTTTCAAATAGCAAAATTGAATAATTATTATCTTTTATATTGCGTGTCATCAATATCTGTAAACAATTTCGTTTTATTGTATTACAAAAGAAATGATTGCTACACAGAAGTATTACACATTACATATAAATATTTATATCTTAAAAATCAAGACAAAATTTAGAAAAAATGATTAAAAAGTGTGCTAAATTTTGATCGAATAAATTAGATACTCAGAATATAAGAATTGTTTAGACTTGGTACGAACAAAATCTAATCAAACTAGCTAACAAATTCTTTTAAGAAGCTGATCTTCATCACTATATATCCATCATTAGAATAGAATAGAAATAGTTTAAAAGATATACCTATCTTCTTCAGGAATTTTTTCGGAAAATGATTCATTAGAAACAATTGAAACTTTCAGTACAGATGGATCTTGATGACTTGAGTAAAAATTATCATAGACTCAAAACTCAAGAATACTTCTCCTCTAGAAGATATTGAGATTGGAAAAGCTAAAAATTATTTCTTTATCACTCTCTTTCTTCAAAAGTTCTACGTTCGGTAGAATGGAAAATTATTTTACAAATACTAGACATTGTTTGAAATGTTTAATTTTCTTTTATTCTCTTCTATTCAAATGAAAATAGCAAAGTTCTGAGAACACTCTGAATAATGCATGCTTTTGTGACTTGGTTTATATTGATAAATCGTAGTCCAAATCAGTGCGACATGATATTGTGTAACAAATAGAAAACATTATTCTAGGCATTTTCTAACAATAGTAGCAATAGGTTTCAACTCGAATAGAGACGCTTGAAAGACGACAACGACTCTTCACCGATTTTTTTGTTGAAAACTTCTTTTAAAAAAAAAAGAAGCGAAAAGATGTGAAAAATTTGATGTTTTTGAACGAAAATGTTTCATCATTTAAGACATTTCAACTTTTATACTTATGTAATAATTCTTGAAATATTTCCCGTAAGTCAAACAAGGATTCCTTGAAATATTTTCGATAAAAAGTGTCTACTCAAAAGTGCATTTTTTTCAAAGTCTAGACACAATAATGTCCTTGTTCACACTGTTAATATGCACTGTGTCTTCAATTATGAGTATGCATCAAGTAAAAATCAATCAATAGAAAAATAGTAAATTTCACGAAACTTCAAGATCCCTATGCAAACCGAAAAAAACCAATACTGCTTCGTATCTTTACTAGTGATTACAAATAGAGCCATTCTGTCCGATACTTATTGAAGACAAGAAAGATTGATCAATCTTATGGGTTTTTTTCTTATCTCGTAAAAGCCAAATATCTGTAAACGAGCGCCATCTGTATTAATTCTCACACTTCTGATTTGTTTGTTTGATAAGACAAATCAAATAAAAAATCTTTTTTGATTGTCCATTTATTTATCCATCTTTTAGTCTACCCGCAAATAGCGATGAATCATCAATTCATTATCAAATCACAAGCGTTACTATGTTTTGATTGGTCAGCTCGTATCGATGATTTCTCCGAATAGACATTTATTTTGAAAAAACTAAAAGCACATTTAGATAGAGAAAACTTTTCTGTATCGACCAGTATAAATCAAAACTTCGGCCCATTAAATTGTTTTTGGGAAAAGTCCGCTTTAAATGATTTGTATTTTGATTGGTCAGTTTCTATCGACCATTTCGCGGTATAGACATTTTTCCTGAAAAAAATAAAAGTACAGTTTAATAGAGAAAAATTTTCTGTATCGACTAGCATAGATCAAAAGTTCGGCCTATTTTGTTTTTTTTAACACACGTTGAACATAGCGCCTTTGATATTGATTCATGTAAATGTACATCTTTTTTCTGTTCTGCCTGCATACTATTTAGCATTTCATTCTAAAAAAAAAAGTTAGATCGATCATTTAAATAAATTCAAATGACAACAAATCGTTCAGTACCAATTGTTGTCATATCATCCGAAAATATTCCAAATAAAATTCGTAATATTGATGATATTGAATATGAATTATCACAAAATTATCTTCCATTAAGTAAAGTGTATTATATGAACTAGAATAAAAAGTCAATTTTTTCTTTTTGTTTAGAATCAACACCATCACGAAAAAGTAAAGGTCGATCTCTAATTAAATGTGAGTGTTTTTTTTTGTGTTTAAACTGAATTATCAACTCATTGTATTTTATTAGATAAAAGTGCTCCACCAGTTCCAATAATTACTGATGAAAATAATGATATTAAAGAGAATGAAATTACACGATTACATGATATATCACATATTTTACCTCGATTTCCTGTTCGTCATGGTTTGATATTTATTTAATATCATTAAAAAGAAAAACTCTTTATGCAAATTTTTTTTTCTTAAAGGTATTCTTAAACAAAAACGTAAATATAAATCAAAGAAAAAAATTTTGGCTGAAAAAAGTAATGAAATCTTTGCTTTAAGTTATCTTTAATTATACCTTTTTTGTTTTTCTTCATTGAAGCTTCAGATAATATTATGCGACAAGAAAATATGGATAAAATTCTTCTTGAACCAAATTTATCAAACGATGAAGTAAAACAATTTTTCATTATTAACTTTTTTTTTTCGTATCTATAGAAAAAAATCTTTCTAATGTCATTTAGAATGAAACAACAAAAAAGAAACAATTTAAAAGTAATTTAATACAATTAACACCTGATGATCTACAACAAACAGCATTAAAAATTCAAGAAAAATATTTTCATGGAAAAACAAGTGAATATTTAATGATTAATGTTCTTAATGGAAATGAATTCGATGAATGGTTTAGATATTTAAGGTTGGTTTTCAATCAAATTTTAAACTTATTATTATGAATAACTCTTTTTGTTCTTATTCAAATAATAAAGAAATCTTCTCAGATGTTCTTCTTTCCGATTTCAATAACTTTTTAACGATAGATAATACATTGCGTTCTGATAAAAGCTTTAAAAAGAATTTGTGTTGACTAAACTATTGCATTTTGATCAAAAACTTTGTTGAAAACTTGTGAGTACTTTTATGAAAGCTAGTCTAGATGAGTTCTCTATATGCATAAAGTTTCAGATCAAAATTCGAGGAATACAAGTTTTCCGAAAACCTAGAGCTTTGAAAAAATCGACGGATTAAACAGTCAATGGTTTAGTTAACTCAAAAGTCTCTTAGAATTTTTACAATTGAAACCGAACCGGAGGGGGGGGGGGTATCTACTTTCATTGAACATTTTCAACTTGAGTTATTAAACTTAATAAGCTAAAATAAGGATATAAGAAATTTTCATCTATTAAAAATTGATTAAAATAATTTGACAAAGACTTAGAAGGATTCTTCAAGTTTAATGAAATTATAAGTAATTGAAGGAATTCTTAGGATCGATGTGAATATTGTCTTGAACTTCCTATTTAAATCTTTCTAATAATAGAAAACTTATGTTTTATTATTGAAAAAAGTCACATGAATATTTCTCAAACTAAAAAATCAATTCCATTTGTATAAGTCTTTTATATATTATTGATAAAATTGTAATAATTTTTTTTGTTTTATTTCAGAGCTGGTTTCAATATTCTTCTACATGGTGTTGGCTCGAAAAAATCGCTTGTATCGCTTTTCTTCAAGAAATATTTAAAAAATGAATATCTAACATTTATTATCAATGGTTTTCTGCCAAATATTACAATTAAACAAGTATATAGAAAAGATATCTAATCAGTTAATATTTCTATATACAAAACGTTTAATTTTATTCAACACTAAAATCCATAAGATTTATTTTCAGAAACATTTCAAATAGAGAAAAAAAATTTATACTCATTTAATTAATAACTTTTGTTTTCCATTATTTGTCTGTGCGATTATTAAAAGAGAAAAATACTGCACAAACTCTTTTTATGTTGTTGTTCCTCGTAATTTTGGCATATTTTTTTTTCAAAACAGAGTGAAGCGTTTTTAGACAAGTAGAATACTTGAAAAAATCAAAACATATTAGACACTCTTTATTCGTTCATTATTTTCTTGTCATAAAACGAAATTATTATTTAGGTTCTTCAAACTATATGTTCATGTGCAGAGATTAATATTAGTCAATCGAGTAATAATGATGAATGTATACGAGATATAATAAAAAAGATTGAAAAAGAAAGTAAATTAATCAAAAATTTTTTTTTTTAACAATAAAAAAAAAGACATGTTTCGTTTGTCTAGAATTACATATTTATTTATTGATAAATAATATTGATGGAATGAATTTTCGTAATATTAATATACAAAATATATTTAAATTAGCAGCACAATGTCAATATATTCATATTCTTGCCACTATTGATCATATACATGGACCATTAAGTAAAATAAAACAAAAATCTTGTTTTGTTTTTTATTTTGATTGTTTTTTTTTTGTTTAGTTTGGAATCAACAAAGTCTTAATAGTTTTCGATGGATATGGTATGCTGTACATACATGGTAAGTTCAAAATTTCATAAGAATAAATATGTATTTTATTATTTAGGTTACCTTATATTGATGAAACAACCAATGAAAGACTTAATACAATTCGTTTAAAAACAAGTAAAGAATTTTGTTTGTTTTAATTGATTATTTTAATATATTGAATATTTAGGTCAATTATCAATTAGTGCTGTTGAACATGTTATTGAAAGTTTAACACCAAATGCACGACGAATCTTCCGTTTACTTGTTGAAGCATTTTTAGCTAATAGTAATTCAAAAGATTATGAAGGTATGACTTTAAATTAATATTTATTTGAAAGAATTCAAAATAATTATTCTCATCATGTAGAGAGAGACTAGGAAATCATTGCAAATAGCAGTTATTTATCATAATATGTGATGCAAAAAATAATACGATAAATGTCGAATTCTATTTCTCTTTGATAAAAAGGGGGAGGCTGAAAGAAAACTTTTGAATTAGGATAATATAGAATATTGTCGTCTTTCGAATTATATGTTGCTTTATATTATCGTATGGTTATAAAGAAAATAGTTTGAGAAGAAAGAAAAACCTTCATGCAACGAATTTGTAGTTCTTTTATATTAACCTATTAAATAAGTTGTGTTAAGTAGCAGTTAATTATTCTATAAAGCGTGATAATTTAGGAAGAATAATTTATTAAATATTTGAAAAATACACAAACTTAATTTTTTACTAAGGAATATGCGTTCAATGAAACTTGTTAATAATCATTGTCATATTAGTCAGCATAAATTAGCTAAGCGTTTCAATATTAACCAATTACAAATCAATCATAGCACTGGATATGTAATTATGAAAAATGCAAATTCATTCTTGAGTGTACTTCTCTTTTTCTCCTACATCATTCTTGTTTAGAAGCCGACATTTGTTCAATTAGCTTCACATCATATATTACTTCAGTATAGACTATTTATTGAATGTATAAAATAGAGGTTTGTGATAGAGTTAAGTTATAGTATTTACACTGAAATTTTTCAATGCTTCTATGAGAGATTATAATCACTTCTAGACCAAGTTTTGACATACTAAGTTATGAAAATCAACTTTGAAAAGCTTTCCCTAATCTCATGAAGATCTATTCTCATAGTTAATTTCAATATTGTTTTTTTTTCGATCAAATACAAAGGTTTCATCATTTTGTAAAAAAAAAAACAAGTCAATTTTCGTCAAAACATGAAATTTGAGATAAATGCATGAAAAGATGATAGCTCGAAATCTAATCTTGCATCAATGACATGATTTTTTTATTTGACACTTGGTTTTTTTTCAGATAAAGTGGAAAATTCATTTCTATGAACTTTTTGATAGTGCATATCAGAATTCTTGAAGAAGTTTCATTGTACCTAATTGCCTCCTTTTTTATTTGAGAAAGCATGTCACAATAAAGAACATGACAGAATCTCTTTCTTTGAATTAAACATTGTTACTAGTACATAAGAAAGTACTTTGAGAATTCAAGCACCATTTTTTAGGATATTAGATATTGCTTTCCTTAAAAAGTAAGAATAAAAACGAAAGACTCTGTTATGTATTGAATCTTGATATGTTTTTTTAAACAAAAAAAAAAACTTCAGTATATAGAATGAAGGTCCCGGAGAATTTTAAGTTGCCCAATGACACGATATATCCTTGAAATTTCATGCAATTTGAATCGTACTTGAGCCAAGATTAATTTTTGACAGGTTAGAGATACTTAAAGTGATCTCTGAACTCGCTAGATGCATTTGTAATATAGATATTTATAACTTTCTTTTTTAGGCATGAAATTTACTGAATTATATGAACAATGTAAACGTTCATTTTATGTAAATAATGAACAAAATCTTCGTTTACAATTAATTGAATTTATTGATCATCGTCTTATTAAACTTGGTAAAAGTACAAATGATGGACAAGAAATTGTTCGATTACTTATTACTGAACAAGATATTGTTCAACAATTATTAGATAAACTCAAATAATCTATAGTAACAAAAATAAGAGACAATTAGATACTCAATGTCAGATAGTTATTTTCTTTTTTTTTTTTGACCTCTTATGAATAAATTTCTTTTTCTATTTGTATCGAAATGCAATAAAATAAATCAACGATAAAGATGTCCTTATTATTATTTTTTTTTGTAGATGAAAAAATGAATATTGAGTTACTTTCGACATTTCAACAAAATTATCCTGAAGAATTCGATGGCACACTGGATTGTGCATCGATGGCTGTTTGTTGTGCTTTTAATAAAGTTGGTAAGTATTTATTAAAAATACATACACATTTATACATTTTACAAAAAAAAAAACAAAGGTTCAATGTTAGCTGTTGGCTGTTCCGATGGTCGTCTTGTTATATGGGATTTTTTAACACGTGGTATAGCTAAAATAATTTGTGCTGATTGGTCACCAATATATTGTATATCATGGTCAAAAAAATCTGATCTAATAGCAACATCATCAACAGATAATACGGTATGTATTTGGTATACATCAACAGGTCGTTGTCGTACACGTATATCATGTATACAATCACCTATACTTAAAGTTCAATTTCATCCACGTAATTCATCTTATTTACTTATATGTCCAATGAAACATCCACCTGTATTAATTGATAATAATGGTAAACATACAATAGTTACAATTGATGATGAACCAAATGATATTATATCAACATTTGATAGAAAAGGTGAACATATTATATTAGGTAATAGTCGAGGTTTAATTATTGTTAAAACATTTTCCGATTTAAAAACTATTTCATCATTTCGAATTACGACTGGAACAAATACAAATACGGTATTAAGACATATTGAAATTCCTCGCCGAGGTAAGAAAATAAATCTATTCAAAATATAGTTGTATTATTCACTACATTTCAAAAAGTTCGCTTTTTATAAATGCGAATTCTTGAAACTCTTCATAGAAGCTACTGGGCGTGGGATCTTTAAATTGAGATAATTTTAAAATCATGATCTTTCTTAAAATCTAGAATCCTACAGTGGTATTTGGTAAATAGACGTGTTAAACATTCAATAGCTTCATGAAAGGTCTATAACAACTCAAATTTTTCATTGGATTTTCATTGATATACTATACAATATCTAAAAGTGAACAATGATTGAAATCGGAAGGAGATATCTCGAGAAGTTCTTCCGTTAGTTTGAATGTTTATTATGATATTTAAAATACCAATATACATCATATTAAATGCATAAATTCTATTCAATTTCAAATCTTAGAAGATACGCACATCGATAATAGTTTGTATTGTGAAATTAAAATGCTTGAGAATTCCACATAATCACCATTCGAAGTATATATTTAGATGAGATTCAAAAAGAAACAAACATTAAATTTTTTTTATATCCTAGATTAATTTCAATGAAATCTGATAAACTAAAATGAGGTTTGTCTTTAAAAGTTTTATTTCTCATACTGCTAATAAAATAATAACTGTTATATATTAAGTATTCGAACTTCGATTTAGTCTATTTTCTCCGAAGACGAATTTCGCCGAAAATAAATTTTCACCGAAAGTAATTCGCCGATTCCAGTACCACTGAAAACGAATATAAGTTGAATTTAATCGGCCATATATGCAGTCAACAATTAAATTTCAGGTAATTAGTCCATGACACCAAGCCAGTTAGAGCCCACGTGAGATAGCTTCCAAATCGATTGGATTGACTACCAAGTCAGATGGTAACCATCTGACTTGATAGTCAATTCAACCGATTTGGAAGCCATCTCATATGGGGTCTAACTGACTTGGTGTCATGGATTAATTATCTAAAATATAATTGTTGTCTATATGACGGATTAAATTCAACTTATATTTGTTTCTGGTGATAAATTCATTTGGCGAAAATGAAATTTACCGAATACTTATGCTCTTCGTATACATTGGCTAGTCACAAGTTAGCCACAATACTATTAGACAGATGATTCGAGACAAACAGTCGCTCGTGACTGATTATACCAAGATTTGAGCACTAAACTTTGTAGATACCTGCCGAACAAGGTAGCCACTCACCTATAGTGACCTCTAGATCAAAAAGAAAGATTCTCTAGATGGAAATCATTCAAATAATAAATACAAATCAAATTTCATTTTTCCATTGTCTAGGTCAATATTGTCTCGTTAATACAAGTGATCGAATAATTCGAATCTATAGCTATACTGAAATGTTATCATGTGGTATTGGTCGTGATCTCGAACCAAAACAAAAACTTCAAGATCTTGTTAATAAATCATTATGGCGTAAATGTTGTTGGTCAGGCGATGGTGAATATATATGTGGTGCATCGTCTCGACAACATTCATTATATATTTGGGAAACTGTATCAGGTAATTTAGTTAAAATTTTACATGGTACAAAAGGTGAAGCATTAGCTGATGTATGTTGGCATCCAGTACGTCCGATAATTGCAAGTATATCAAGTGGTGTTGTATCTATATGGTCACATTCCCAAGTTGAAAATTGGTCAGCATTTGCACCAGATTTTCGTGAACTTGAAGAAAATGTTGAATATCATGAACGTGAATCAGAATTTGATATTAAAGATGAAGATCGTAGTTTAGATGGTTTAGATTATGCTGGTTCACCGAATAAACGACAACGTTTAGATACAAATGGAAATATTAAAAATGATGATGATGATAATATTGAAATCGATGTTGTTACTGATCAACGTATTGAAGCATTAGTATCAAGTGATGATGATGATATTAATGATCAACTTATTTATTTACCAGTTGCACCTGACATTGAAGATCCTGATATTGAATTTCCAACACCTGTATCTAATATACCTAAAACTCGTACAACAAGTCCATCACTACAAACACGTGTATCAGCTGATGAAACATATGATATTCAATTAAAAATTCCACCTGTTCATGATGTACATCCATATTTTGGTGGAACAAAACAACCACGATCAACAGTTAATACATTAATAAATACTCAAGATTCTATAGGTAATAAACGTGAAATAAAAAATCGTCGTAAAGGACATCATCATCATCATCATCACCACCATCATCATCATCATCAATTTCAACAACAAAATTCTCTTTTACAACAAGAACAAACAAGTCAACAAACAATTTTATTACCAAAATCAATTGATGCAGCCGTAGCAACTGTAACAAATAATCAAAAACGCTCGTTAGTAACACAAACATTAGAAACCAAAGGACAACGAGCACGTTCAGCTCGTCTTGAAGGCAAAAAAGCTGCAGCAACAACACCAGTTGTAGTTAATACACAAACATCCGTATCAATAACGACAACAACAACAACTGAAGAAATAATTAGTGCACCACGTACTAAGCGTGGTAGTCATCATACACATTCAATCGATAATGATGTTGACTTTGTGCCACATTAAAATATCTATTTTGATTTAATATTGCTTTCTTTTTCCGTTGTTCTTGTTGTTGTTGTTTAGTATTAGAATCTCTTGTGTGTATGAAAGTTTGTTGTGATTCTTTCTTTGCATTGTAAATATTTGTTTTTGTGTTTTTAAACGTACAGAAAATGATTCGTATTTAGAAAAAAACGACTTGTCTCGTCTCTTTTTTTTGTAGGATAAAGAAAAAAGATATCCTTAAGATATATGAGCAAGTCATCAGATTCTTTGAGTTATAAGATATATTGAAGGAATAGAAATGATTTTATGTATTGTATTTCAAACAAAACATTATAACTTTCCTATTACCTTGTCAATAAATTCAATAATTCTGTATTGAATTTTAATTATCTGTATGATTCAATTTTAAACAAATTTTATTAAAGAAATTTGTTTGCTTTATTTCATTTTTGTAAATATTATTTACAACAAAAAATAAAACAAAAAAAAAATTTTCTTTCATAAGTATTATTGAAGATATGCTTGTCTGGCGACGATTTATTCATTCGAGTGTACCACGATATTTATCACAATCAGCTGTTGCTTCAAATTCGCCATCACCATTAAGTGTTTTACGAAAAAAAACAGGTTATTCATTATCCCATTGTCGGACAGCACTTCAGCAATTTAATGATAATCTTGAACAAGTAAATATCTTTAAAATGAGTAGAAGATTATATTAATAAATGTTGTCTTATTTTTAAGGCTGAAGCATGGCTTCATCAACGGGCTCAAGCTGAAGGTTGGAGTCGAGCAACAAAACTACAAAGTCGTGCTGCATCTCAAGGTTTAATTGGTATTATAACAAATGCAAATGCAGCTGCCATGGTTGAGGTTTGTAAAATTGAAACTGTAGATTATTTGATATAGAGTAGCACACAAAAGTATGGAGCAGGTGTATTTTTAAACTTCCTTCTTGATGTTTATAGTTAACATGAATCGGAAAAAATATTTGTATAACTGAAAGGATTCCCTGCCAGAATTGGTAGGCACAAATAATTCAACAAACCTACTAGGACGAGAGTCTATGCAAAACCAGCTTTCTGGATTTCCTTTGTACTTTTTGGCATAAGATTTTTTTCTTGATAGAGTAAAATGAGATGTCTTCGTTCTTTCGATGACTTTTCTTCATTGCATTGCATTGAATTTATAGAAGGCTTCAGAGTGTCAAAAAGATGGCAAAAATTTTGAAATTTTCCATAAAAACAAGAAAAAAAAATGTTTCTTTGGTCTTCTGTAAAATGAATGCAGTTTGATGAAGGAAAGTTATAGAGAGAT